TCTTTGCAAGTGGAAAGGACCAGGTGAGCCTTGTGTTGTCATCCACCATGGTCATAGAATACAGGGCCCCAGCATCTCCCTTCACCTTCATGGGTCCCACGAGATCCACATGCACGAGCTCCACCGGGTCACTCGACTTCCCCTCCACCGAATGGAAGGGAAACCGTGAAAACTTGCTGGTCAAGCAAGTCTCACAAGATCCCACCTCCTTGGGCTCCCCCTTTATCCTCAGCCCCTTGACTCTTTCCTCCTTAAACAGCTGCTGCAACTGAGGTAGCGCCACGTGGCCAAAGCGACGGTGTGCGGTGAGCCAATCCGTCTCACCCGTGCTAGGAGTTACACTTGGAAGCGCAGCCCCTCCATGCCCAAGGAGCCCACCATCACTGTCATCACCACCCCCTCCATTGTCCACGTGGTTAACACGCCCTCCTCTCACATCTCCAGCAGCCAAGCGCGCAGCCGCCTCCTTCCATGGCAGCACCGGTATCTCCCACATGGACCGGTGCATGTCCTTGCCGCCTCGGAGGTCCCACAATACGCGCCCATCCAGAGTTGCCTTGAAAACCTTTGTGCCCAACATCTCCATCTTCATCCCTGCCTCACTTAGGGCCTTGGTAGAGAGGAGGTTGGCACACAATCCAGGAACAAGGAGAACACGCTTCAGCCCCACAAGCCTCCCATCCGCACCCATGAACATGGCTCTCCCCTCGCCACGCACGGGTACAACTTGGCCGGTGGCTGAAACGACGGTGGCTGCCTTTGATGGCCTAACTTCATCCAGTAGATCCTCTCGGTTGGTCATGGTCATGAAGGCTCCCGTGTCGATGACCCAATGGGAGGAGCGGTGAAGAGCAATCTTGCTGGCCGGCACAACCATGTCCTCGGGGCACGCCTCCCCTACATGGTAGAACATGCCGCCGTATCCGCCAGCACCTCCTTCGCCATCCTCACTGCCCATGCCTTCTCCCATAGCTCCATGAACACCCTTGGAGCCCTCAATTGATGGCTGACCAGGCCTCCAACCGTCAGGTAGCTTGCGGCACTTGAACCATGGGTGCCCTTCCACATGGCAATACCAACACTTGCCGCCACACCGCTTGCCTCCCTTGTTGCCACGCTTCCCTCCCGAATGCTGCTCCCCTCCAGAGCCTTCCTTGGCCTTCCCTTTCTTGCTGCCACGCCCCTTGAAGCCCTTCATGCCATAGGCAGAGCCTCCACCTTCACCGGCAGCGGCGGTCAGCTCCTTCCTCCGAAACTCCTCTTGAAGAACTTGTGCGCGAATCCACTCAAGGGACCACGAGTCCTTCATCCCATTAAGGTTGACCACCAAGGGCCCCCACGACTCCGGCAGCAGGGAGAGAGCCTTGTAGCACTTGATTTTCTCAGGGTAGTCCACACCAGCAGCTGAGAGCTTCACATAGAGGTCCCGGAGTTGATCGAACGCTCCTTGTACGGCATCACCCTCGTTGATCTTCACCGCATGGAGTTGTCGCTCGAGCACCACCACCATTGCTTCGCTGCTGGGGGCATGGACATCCTTCAATATCCTCCATGCCTTAGGACCACACTCAGCTTCCTTGATGAGATGCTTGATGTGGTGCAGCTGGTTGGATGAGAGGCATTGGGAGAGAAGGAAGAATCCATCCTTGGACCGGTGATCCCATTCTTTGGTCGCTCCTTCGCTCGTAGGCCTCTTGAATTCTCCATCCATCACTTCAAGCAGCCCATAATGGTTGAAGAGGAGCTCCATCCTGAAGCTCCATGATGCCCAATCATCCCCAGAGAACTTCTCCAGGTTGAATGCCTTCACATCATCCTTAGCTGATGTTGAAACTGAAGCCATTGGCGCAGATCCGCCTGCAACGCCTCTTCCCGCTTCCCCAGCGCCTCTCATGCCACCACTGCCACTGGGACCAGCTGGAGCAGAACCTTCAGCCTCCATTTTCACCCACGAACAGAGTAGAACAGCTCTGATACCACTTGTTATAGTCTGCAGTCCACTTAGGGGTCGCGGATGCCCATGAAACCGCCTAAGCAGAATCTGACGTCTTCAAACCGCCTCTGTTCAAAACGCCGTCACGATCAGCTCCAAGAACATACGAGGCTGAAACTTGAACAGCGGTTAGCCTTAGGTGTCTGCTTTCCAACGGTATATTACTTGCTATTATCAGAGGTGTGTGCACTACGCAGTGAACGAAAACGTAAGCTCGGCTGAAAAAACGTGTATTCTCATTGATGCAAGGAAGAGGTGAGTACAACATTGCCTAGGGGACTCATAAGGGGTTGGGTCATCCTGGGAACTCAGAGAAGGTTGAGTCCTAGGGGAGAAAGGCTAGAGAAGAATGGGAAACGTCCTAGCTAGGTCAGCAAAGCCAACCACACTTGGATGTTCAGAGCTGTACTCAAGGCTACCAATAGTGAGTCAAGCCAACATGAGTCAGCTTGTCTTCCCACTTGCACCCTCTTGCAAGTTGCTTCCAGGAAGACCACACTTCTCAAAAGGAGGGTTGTAGATTCCCACTTGACCACCTGTACTTCTTGTCTCATTCTCTGTCCCTGCACCATTGGCATGACAACAATGAAAGGGTGGCAAGGGAAATGCTGCCAACAGTGCACCATGACTACGGAACAGTGAATTTCGGCAGCTGTCACGCAATGCTCAGATGTTGGATCGTTCTGAAACTTGGTGACCACTTGCACAGCGGGGCAAAGGACTGCCAGACCGAATTTCAGACCAATCAGATCTCGGTAGACGAGTCAGCAGCCGAAATGGTGAACTCAGGTGTTACCAAAAGGAGTAACACACACTTCCGGGATGCCATAAGTCTTGAAACATAAAATGTTGTCATGCCTTGGTAACTGCTTCAAAAACTCTGAAACTTTGAGGGTTTGAAGAAAACGTGTTGAACAACCTCCCCACAAAATTCCAGAAGCTGAGCAGGCTTGTAGGCCGAATGGGAGTGCGATGACCGTGCCACTGTAATGTGTTGGCACAACACTGTCAGTGTGCAGACACAGGACGGGAAACTCCGTCCCATCGCGGAGCTGGAGACGGGCAGCGCGGATCCAAGGGATCAAAACATCAGGGACCTCACCCTTGGTGCGCAAGGGGAAGACCGTTGTGTAACGCGAGTAGTCGTCAACAACCAGCAGGAAGTACCACTCGCGGTCTTGCCCAGTAACGTGGGCTGGGCCCCACACGTCCATATGCAGGGTCTGCAGGGGAGCAGTCGTCGGGGGAAACGAGGAGTGAGGAGCGGCACGCTGCCGCCCCTCGGCACAGGGAAGACAGGGAGGAGCAGGCGAGGGTGGGAGGGGAGGGAGAACCCTGGGAAGACCAGAGACAAGGACACGGCGATGCATGCTACGAAGGCGCTGCACCGAGGGGTGACCAAGACGGTGGTGCCAAAGGAGGGTCTGGTGCGACAAAGCGCGACACGAGCAGGGGCCGCTAGCTGACCTGATGCAGACGCAGACGCAACGACCTGAGGGGACACAGTAGTCAGTGTGTACAGACTCGAGCCAGGCGCACGGGTAAACATGGCCAGGTGCCGGCCCGTCCGGTAGCACGTACAGTGGGTCAAGCGCTGACCTCCAGGAGTGAACGGGTCAACCCACTGGTCCTGGAGGTCAGCACCACTCACCAAGTTCGTAGAGAACGAGGGGAGGTGAAGACCAGACAGGGAGCCAGACGGGACCGCCGGACACGGCAGGACCGTGGAGGAGTGCGCAAGGACTGGACCCCCAGAGGGGTCTGCCAGGGAGACTGCAACCGGTCGACTGAGCGGCGTGAGGGTGGTGCTGTCGCGAAAGAAGGAGCGGGAAGCACCTAAGTCAAGTGTGAAGGTGTACAAGGCCTCAGCAGGTGCAGTACCAGAGAGAGCAGACTCACCAGCACCTGGAGCAGTAGACTCACTAGCACCTAGAGCAGCAGCCTCACCAGCACCTAGAGCAGGAGACGCACTAGCACCTAGAGCAGTATCCTCACCAGCACCTAGAGCAGCAGGCTCTATACCTAGGTCAGGCGGTACGCACAGGTAACAGGCACCATCAGCACTAGTAGGCAATGCATACATGGCAGTGAGAATAGCATCATAGTCAAGAGCAAAGATATCTACCCTCTGCCTAAGCAGCTCCAGCCAGGTGGGGAGCTCAGCCTCGTCGCCAAACTTGGTACGCCAGGCGTCGCTCAGACGGGCGAAGCAGTGGGACTGTGTGTGACCAAGCGTCCCGCAAGCCTGACCAGCCAGATCACCTGTGCGAATGACGTACGGGCAGCGAACGGTACTCCGAGCCCCTCTACTCTGAGCGTACCACTCACGAAGCTGCTGGGGCGTAAGTGTCTCGCACGGACGCCGCTGCAGCTGCAGCTGGCCACTGCCAGACGCTCCCAACTGACCAGCTCCAGGGCGACAGCCACGACGGCTATCGCCACAACCCCAACTAGCGTACCACTCACAAAGCTGCTGGGGCGTGAGAGACTCGCGCGGACGTCGCTGGAGCTGCATCTGGCCACCGCCAGTAGCAGCAGTAGCAGTAGTAGGAGCAGTAGCAATAGTAGCAGCAGTAGCAGCCTAGCAGCAGTAACAGAAGTAGCAGCAGTAGCAGCAGGAGCAGCGCGGGCAGGGCAGGCGCGGCAGGCAGGCAGACAGGCAGGCAGGCAGATAGCGCGGCAGCGCGCTAACAAGGCAGGCGCACGGGAAGCGCGGGTTGTTAAGATGAGAGGAGCCATGGATGGCGAGAGAGTTAGGTAGGGTCGAAAAAGTTGAAATATGAAGAGAAATGTCGAGGTACAAAAGAGAGAGGGTTGGAAACCCTAATTGAACCTAGGGTGTGTTCGGTTTGTACTAAAAACTACGAAATGAACCTAAAATGAACCTGAATGCGTAACTCTCTCTAAGCATGGAGAAATAATATAAGAACACCAAAATAAAGACCAGAGCGAGCTCTAGCCTACTCCAACACACCCCCAGGCTAGGTGAAGCTCTGGAGCAAAACACCTAGCGAACCGGCACACCCCCAGAAGTGGAGAGACGCGTGAGCCCAAGCTCGCGCACGTAGAAACGGTGTGGCGCACGCAGAAGGGCCTTGGTGAAAATGTCAGCAAGGTGAAGAGAGGTGAGCTCGCGTAAGAGGGCAATGACACTGATAGGAGTCTGCGACTGGAAGCGCTCGGTAAGATAGCCGAGAAGGTCCTTGGCATAGCGGATGTGCGAGCACTGAGGGAGAAGAGTTGGAGGGAGGCAGGCAAGGATGGCCTGATAGGCACGTGCGTTGGCAACATGCCAGTCAGCGAGAAGGTCAGAGTGAGATGGAGTAGAGGAAATAGGCGTAGACGCAGAGCGAGGAGAAGGGGCAACGAGGTGCTCATTGAGGCGTTTGTGGGTGCTCTCGAGGGACTCAGCAAGAATACGAGCTAACTCACGGGCAGCAGCATTGTCAGGAGCAGCCGTGGCGGTGGCTTGCACCGTGGTCACAAGCCGCTCATCTTCAGCAATGGCAGCACGGAGGCCATCAGCATAGGGGTCAGAGGAGGAAGAGGTGGGTCTAGAGGGAGAGGTGGGAATGGCACCAGAACCACTCTGCTGAGTGACAAACCAAAGGTTAAAGCCACTCACGAGGGTGCCAGACAGCGTGCGCTCAAGACAGTTCAGCCAACTGGGGAAGTTGACTGCACTGCCATCGGGCGCAAGCTGAAGGACCAGCAGAGGGCGAGAGAGGTCGCCATGAGGAGGAGGAAACAGCTGCAGAGAAGATGTGGGGAGAGGTATAAGAGGCGGAGGAATAAGGGCGGGGTAGTCTGCTGCTGAGCCGCTGAGGGGAGAGACAAGAGGAGGAGGGAAAGTGGCGGAGTAGTCTGCTGCTGAGCCGATGCGGGGAGAAACTAGAGGAGGAGGGAAAATGGCGAAGTAGTCTGCTGCTGCGCCGATGAGGGGAGAAACCAGAGGAGGAGGGAAAATGGCGGAGTAGTCTGCTGCTGCGCCGATGAGGGGAGAAACCAGAGGAGGAGGGAAAATGGCGGAGTAGTCTGCTGCTGCGCCGATGAGGGGAGAAACCAGAGGAGGAGGGATAGCGGCGGAGAAGTCTGCTGCTGTGCCGCTGAAGGGAGAAACAAGAGGAGGAGGGAGAGTTGGGAAGAGTGTGCAGTTGAGCAGTTGAGAGGAGGATGTTGAGGAGGAGGAAAGGGAAGGTGTGGAGGAACAACAGGTACACAACACAATCAGCTACCACCTGCAGCAGATGAAGAGAGAAAAGAGGTGGAGGAGGGGTGAGATAGTGGAGAGGGAACTAGTGGGAGAGAGGGGAGGAGGAGGAGGGTGAAGGGGCGGATTGTGGGAAGGGCAGGGCGCGCCACAAGGAGCTGCGAGCCGCAGCAAATGGGGAGAGAAATTAGGAGGAGGAAGAGGTGAGGTATTCGGGGAAGCACAAAGGAGAGAGGGAAGGAGGAGGAGGGTGAGGGAAGGGGCGGATTGAGGAAGGGCAGAGCGCGCCGCAAGGAAGGGCGGGCACGCGCGCTGCTGGACGGTGCTTAGTTCGCGCGGCGACAGGAGCGCAATGCGCGCGCGACTAGACAGGGTGGGGGGAGGGGACGGCTGAGCGTGCTACGGGCGGAAATCGGCGTGCTACCGTCCGAAACGTGAGGAGGAGGAAGCGGGATGAAGAGGGAAGGTGCGAGCGGATAATCTGAACGGTAGGGAGGCGCGCTTCGGACTAGATTAGGGCACCCGAGCGAGTATAACGAAGAGAACCGCGCGGATGCTAAGAATGACGGGAAAGAAACGAGAGGAAAGGAAAAAAAAGTCGTCTAGCTAAGTAGCGCGGAAAACGGACTAAGGGCCGGAGATTATCTAAGAAATGCGGATGAATATGAAACGCCTAGGACTACGCTCTGAATACCATGTTAAGATGAGAGGAGCCATGGATGGCAAGAGAGTTAGGTAGGGTCGAAAAAGTTGAACTAGGAAGAGAAATGTCGAGGTACAAAAGAGAGAGGGTTGGAAACCCTAATTGAACCTAGGGTGTGTTCGGTTTCTACTAAAAACTACGAAATGAACCTAAAATGAACCTGAATGCGTAACCCTCTCTAAGCATGGAGAAATAATATAAGAACACCAAAATAAAGACCAGAGCGAGCTCTAGCCTACTCCAACACGGGTAGGGCAGGTGCTCACCAGTGGCGGGTGGCGTCAGGGTAGGCGCACGACGGCGGCGACGGCGGGGCCGCAACCGCGGCTGCAGAATAGGGCCGCGTCAGCTGCAGGGCTGGGGCCACGACAGCGGCAGGGCAGGGCCGCGGCAGCTGCTGCAGGGCGGGGCCGTGTCGATGGCAGGGCGGGGCCAGGCTAGGCCGCGTCGGCGGCAGGGCGGGGCCGCGACAATGGCAGGGTGGGGCCGCGTCGGCGGCAGGGCGGGGCCGCGACAGCGGCAGGGCGGGGCCGCGTCAGGGGCAGGGCAGGGCCGCGTCAGCGGCAGGGCGGGGCCGCGTCAGCGGCAGGGCGGGGCCGCGACAGGGGCAAGGCGGGGTCGCGTCAGCGGCAGGGCGGGGCCGCGACAGCGACCTGGCGGGGCCGCGTCGGCGGCAGAGCGGGGCCGCGACAGCGGCAGGGCGGGGCCGCGTCAGGGGCAGGGCGGGGCCGCGACAGCGACCTGGCGGGGCCGCGTCGGCGGCAGGGCGGGGCCGCGTCGGCGGCAGGGCGGGGCCGCGTCAGGGGCAGGGCGGGGCCGCGATAGCCACCTGGCGGGGCCGCGTCGGCGGCAGGGGGGGGCCGCGACAGCGGCAGGGCGGGGCCGCGTCAGGGGCATGGCGGGGCCGCGTCAGCGGCAGGGCGGGGCCGCGACAGCGACCTGGCGGGGCCGCGTCGGCGGCAGGGCGGGGCCGCGACAGCGGCAGGGCGGGGCCGCGTCAGGGGCAGGGCGGGGCCGCGTCAGCGACCTGGCGGGGCCGCATCAGTTGCAGGGCGGGCCGGCGCTCTAGCCTGACGAGCTTGCAGGGGCGGCTCGCGGACCTGACGGGCCTGCAGGGGCGGCGCGCGGGCCTTACGGGCCTGCAGGGGCGGCGTGCTGGCCTTACGGGCCTGCAGGGGCGGCGTGCTGGCCTTACGGGCCTGCAGGGGCGGCGTGCTAGCCTACGGGTCTGCAGGGTGGTGCGCGCGTAGCTAGGGCAACAGTAGGCAGCGCGAGGGCTGCAAGACGGCGCGCGCAGCGTAGCACGTCACAAGGCAAGGCAGGGGAAGGCGCGCGCAGGACAACACGTGGGGTAGCGCGGTAACCGCAACGGTAGGTGGGCCCGAAAAAAAAAGACGGTCCTAAGGACCTAGTGCTCTGAAACCATGTTAGAATCTAGTAGCAGGAATGAATTGACTAGATCAGGGTTTGGTACAAATATGAAACCCTAATGGGGTTGTACCCCATATTGGCTACCCCACTACAGCCTACACATATATGACATGCATATAATTTGACAATCTTAACCCAGCCTTTACCAACCCGATGTCGAGCTCTATGCATGCTTCGGAACTTTTGTGTCTCAGACGAAATTGTACTCGCTGTCTGAATACTCAGACGGACTATTAGCCCGTGGTCATATTTTTCAGATGAGCAAAAATGGTTTGTCTGGAAAGTCATTTTAGCATAAACAATTTATATAAAAACGTGTCTGATTTTCAGACCATCAGACGGATTTTTTCTGATATCCAGAGCCATGACCCCATCCTTGACCTTGATGGAAACAATTGATTTAACGCCTCTGTCGTGTTGAAACACCAAGTCAGAAGCGAAGCGAAACATATCGAAACATTGGCGAGTCAACCCTCGGAGGTTGAACAGCTGCTGGAGGTTACGCGAAAGTCAAAGGTCAGCGACCTTTGACCTGACAAGTACAGTGCGACAGCAAGGACAAACAACTGACTCGTTATTGAGCAGTTGCCCGAGTCGTCACTATATCGAACCGCAACAGCAAACAGCAAAACAGCTATTAGTTATAACCCTTCATATTCCCTTGTACTCTTATAAAAAGCTTGTATCTTTTTGTTTTAATCAATCTACTTTGCCCTCACATACCAGCGCAAGGTGGTTCACAAACTTCTCATTAAACGCTTCCGCTATTACATCATTCCTACTCAGAGTTTAGTCCTGCAAAGATCCTAAGGGCTTTTCTCAGCCCAACATGGTATGAGAGCTATCAGGATAAATTCAACTACAATCAAGACACCTACAACATCACAAGGCATGGCAACGCAGAAGGAGAGAAGCTCCTCTAACGGCTCTCCCGGTACTACTCCTACTCCACCTCCTGCCTCAAGCCTACAGACAGAGGAGGGCACAGCAACAAGACCGGCAGCTGGGTCTACCGAAACTCCCGCAAATCAAGCCGCGGCCTTCGACCCAGACATGATGGAGAAATTCTTCTCCTTCATGTCCTTCTACGAACAACACCAGCAAGGAGCACCTGCGCAGTGTGAAGAATGAGGAATGAATGAACTAGCAAGCAGGTGGGTACAAGTAGGAAAACCTAGAAGTGTTGTACCCCATATTGTCTACCCCACTATAGCCTACACAGACTATAGTATAAGAGTTTGACACGCAGTCAAACAACAGCAACAACAACAACGCAACACCGATGAGCCTCGACGGTTCATCCTACGCACGAGGAAATCAGCAACAACAACCTACCTTCGCCCCGTACGAACCTCAGCGCGGTTCCGTCAGCTTCATGCCGCGCCAGCAGCCTTCACCTGAGCAAGAGAAGACACTAGATGCACTTCAAGTTCAGTCGCAGTTTGCATACGTCTTAAAACTGCAGACGTCAAGACCGTTCGACAGAAAGGACTTCTTTACCTGGTCATTCGAATTCGAACTGATGATGGAAGGCGCGCAGATTCTTGGCTTCTTCGACGGGTCCCTGCCATATCCAACGCACGGGACACAATATGACAAGCAGCAGTACACATATCAATCCATGATGGCGTATACAATCCTACTGCGCAACGTCACACCGAACCAGCAGCAGAACATTCGGTATCAGGCAACAGACAGCGTCAATCAGAGTCGGTTAATGGCACAACTGACAACAGTGGAAATGAAACCGGGCGAAAAAGGGATGGCGTATATGTCAGAATGTTATTATCTAGCCTGTAGTGGGGTGCTCTATAGCGAGTACAACCCTGTTAGGGTTTGCTATATGTATCCCAACTGCTGCTAGTGAATACCTCCTCCTTTGTTCATTTCTCTCTTGCCTAGCTAGCCAAAACCCTAGCTATGGCTCCTCACTGTGCTCACTATTCTCACAGTATATCAGCCGCTGTCGCGAATTGCGCGACAAACTCCTTCGATGCGGAGGGTCAATATCAGAAGACGCCTTCGTCACAGTCGTCATTGGCGGTCTTGGTCCTCATTGGCGCTCCACTCGCGCCATACTCCAAGCTCACGGGAAGATCTCCGAAGCAGCACTATGCGCCGAAATTCACGCTGAACAGCAAGACATGGACCTACAAGAAGAAAAACACAAGAGGAAGACGTCAGTGCCTGAGTTCGCCTTCCACACTCAACGGCGCTACAACAACAACAACCATCGGCAAAACAAGTACCAAGGACAGCAACCCGTACCTCCATTTTGTCATCTCTGCAAGACGTCAGGTCACCCCCGCACACACTGCCCTAACCGGCAACAGTCAGCACCAACGCAGCGGCAGCTTCGACCTTCAAGCAGTCAAGTCGCCTCAACGCAAGTAAATCCCACCACTCAAGTGCAAACGTCAACAACGTCGACGGGACAACCTGCACAAGGAACAAGGAACATCGTCAGCTGCATGGCAAGATTGACCGACTCCTGCATCACCGAATCAGCGCCGCACTACTCACCAGAAGAACAACTCGACGAAAGGACCCCACGTCGCGAGTCACTGCAACCAAACCCAACGTATGCAGCCATCGCCCAAAGTGAACCGTCTGGGAAGGATACCTGGTTCTTGGACAGTTGCTGCAGACAACACATGTGCTCTTCAGGTCGCTTCGTTCAACGGGAATACCAACTTCAGCGGGAAGTCGTCATCACCGTCGCCAACAACAAGAACCTGCGCACATGACGACAAGGCGTGGTGCAACTTCAGTCACGAGAGACAAACGTCATATTGCAGATGTCAAAGGTATTAATTGTAGAGGGACTCGGCTACAACTTACTGAGCGTCAGCCAGCTGATGGCGAAAGGCATCCACCTTGAAGCAGACAGCACAACACAGGAGTTCAAGTTATACCACGGGAAGGGCGGTCTCTACATCGGGAAGGAGGTCCTGAAAAATAACGTCTTCGTCCTCGACTTCGTCCCAGATCTTGGCACCGCTGACAGCGACGGGATCGTCACCTTCACCTCCTGGACACATCCACCAAATCTTGACCCCAACTTCAGTCCCGAAGGCTTCTGGTACTCGCACACCATCCCTGAGGCAGAACGAACAAGAGCATTAGCAACGATTCAACACTCGGCAGCAGCAGAGACAACATCGGCAGCAGCAGAGACAACATCGGCAGCAGCAGAGACAACATCGGCAGCAGCAGAGACAACATCGGCAGCAGCAGAAACAACGGCAGCAGCAGCGGAAACATCGACACCAATCGCTGGTCCTTCAACTGCACCAACTCCAATCGACGACGACACTCCACCGACTCCTGCGCAGCAATTGAACCCAACACCACGAGAAGTACATCGAAGCGCAAACTTCACTGCAAGCTTCTACTCCAACTCCGACTTGTACTGTCGCTCATCCGGACATCGAGCTAGCAAAGACATCTGGCACGCACGAATTGGACATCCAAGCAACACAGTGTTAAATAACACAATCAGAGCAGGAGTGCTCGACAAGGAATCACTGCTCCTAACCTACGGAAGCGAACTTCGACGAGCTCGCGGAACGTGCTTTACCTGCCCCGAAGCTGACTTACCACATCGCCCGTTCGCTTCTCACCACAACCCCAGCGCACCAGCTTACGCACCACTTGAGAAAGTGTACAGCGGCATCCTCTACAACCGCGAACCTGGACAAGGAGCATACAGCTACACCATCACGTTCATCTATGCCGCCACGTGTTACGTTTGGCACCTCAACCTTCCGAGCAAGGACATGGCCTTCGAGGCTTTCGTCGCTTGGCTCCCAGTAGCAGAGCGAGAATCAGGCGTGAAATTGAAAAGCTTCCAGTCAGACGGAGGAGGAGAATACACCTCACAGAGGTTCAAGCAGTACTTGGCAGAAAGAGGGATCAAGAGGCTCATCTCCCTTCCCTACGCTCACCAGCAGCAAGGCGTAGCAGAAAGGATGAACAGGACTCTCCAGAACACCATGCGCAAGCTGTTACGTGGCATGCGGCTACCCAACCACCAATGGCCCGAGGCAATGGACCACGCTGTCATGCTGCACAACTTGCTCTCGTCATCATCGCTCCCGAACAACGCATCACCGCACCTGCTGTGGACAGGAAAACAGGGCAGCACAAAAATGTTAAGAGTTTTCGGCTGCATGGTACAGTACCGACCCCCATCTGCACGAGCCGGCCGATTTTCCCAACGAGCACAGTGGGGACTACACCTGGGCATCGAAAGAAATTACAACGCGTGGAAGATTTTCGACGTCCACTCCAAGGAAACAGTAGCAGCCCGTGATGTCATTTTCTACGAACGACTCACCCCTTCCGCCGAAGTATTTTACCACTTCGCCGACAACGGTTACGTTACACCTGCAGAAGTCAACACAAACGAAGTAGAACGCGTAGGGCCCAACTTCATACCTGACCCAGAAGCAGGTGACGAAGCA